TGAGGGGAAAAAAAAAAAAAAAAAAAAAAAGAGAAGCAAAAATTGATAAAAAGAGGGTAAAAATGAGTGCAGAATGTAATATCAGAGCAAAAGCCCAGACCTGAACAGGACAGAAAGGTAGACATATATATATATATTGTTGCATTTACTTAAATGCTAGGCATCTATACCTTTTCTTTCAATCAGTACCGTTATTTCAACAATATTGTAAAAAACATGCTGGTATTTTGTTTGAAGTTTAGCACCTACACATAGATTGTCCCTCATTGGTCCAACATGTCTTGATCAGTGAGATGAGACAGAGAGAAAGTAAGTGAGCACCCACAGAAGCTAAAAGTTGTAATGACAGGTACAAGAGACAAGTGAGGAAAAAAAGAAAGAAAAAGTGTAGCTGTGCAACAATCAAACATGCTTTGTAAACCCCACGATCTCTTTATTGGAACTGTGATGTCTTTTCATAAATAAGTGATAATTTGGGAGTTTAACAGAATAGACTGTACATAATGATTTAATTTACCATTTGATTCTAACTGCATTTGATTAAATGCAACTTCTATCTTTTCTTCAATCAAGTCATCCCAAAAATGTACAAAAAACATAATTACCCCACCAACATGTTTTCTACTGAAAGTACTAAAATACAGCTTATCAAAATCCTAAGAAAAATAAACAGGAGCTGCAACATTATGCAAATTTGCAAGTCAAGCCTAGGTATACAAAGGCAGGATTCTTCCTACATTTTTCCTGACTGAATACAGATTCAGATCAAGTGTAACAAACGTAACTCCCAAACAGTACATGATCACAGAACTAATGCAGACCAGCATTTGTCATTCAACTTTTTCCTCATTTTCACAGGGGAGGGAGGTGGAGTATGAAAGATATAAAGGAGGCTCTTGTTTTAAACAAAAAAAAATTGCCTCTATGCTAGAAATTGAAAGTCTTGCCTACATATTCATACCTTATGTATTTTTTGAACACTAATGTAATATATGATGGGTTGTTACTAAAACGGTTTAAATACCTCTAAAGTGTTTTCCAGACAATCAAAAGCTATTGGTATGCAATTCTGCCATTCAAATGTCAAAGCACAGAAGTATCATTTGCTTTATTTTGTGGCCCAGATATCTAATACACTCTTATAACTGAACTTCTATTCATTCTGCATTTCCTTTCATTCTTCCTTAACAGGTTAAGAGAATAAATTGTACTCATGGTGTTCACATAATACAAGAAACATACTAACTCAACTGCTGAAGCAATATCCTTGCTGTACACCTTGGAATTTCTCTGTACATATCCAAGCGTCATATATGCAAATAGTACATCTTTTACTACCGCTTCCTAAATACATTGTTCTGAGCCAGTACTCCTTGGATTGATATGACAAGTTCCTCACTATCTTATGCACATATCAAGGAACTGTCATCATAGAGACTATACTAGAGCCATTATTTCTGACATTTTTTTTAAGATACTTCTCTTATACAACTTTGTCTTCTGTAATATTTTTTTGCTATATTCTGTCCATAATATGAGTATCCGGTTTCCATTTTTATGAAAGTAATTAATTTCACCTTTAGAAAAGGAGTTCACCAGCTTTATTCTAATCATGAAAACAAATTAGAAACTGTAACACTACCACAACCTCTTGACAATCATTTTACAAACACTGTTCCATGTCATACCACTATACAGGAAGATATAACAAATTACTCATACATTTTAAAAACAGACATCACATTCAGTGCATCTTTCTCATCAAATGTACTTTGTCTCATCAAATGTACTTTGTAAGTCATAAAAATATAAGGCAAACTAATTGGTTATATGTTTTAATATTTTAGAAGATAGATGTTTGTAAAAGAACAAACAACAATAATAGCTGATGGTGGCCAGCATGAACAGTCACTCGATCACCTGTGCATAATAGAGTTGCATAAAAGGCACAAAGAATGGGAAACAGGGGAGAAGTGATTCTTCATGGAATGGTATTTGTATAACATTGTTTCTCCACTTAATACAGAAAGCATTGGCCTGAATTATAAACATATGCCTCTGAAAACAAACCCGAGAAAAGAGCTTCCAGGCAAAATAAAACATGCTGCAAAGCAGACAAGATCAGAGAATAAACTTCCTAAAAACATCTATAGCAAAAAATGTTTCTTTGTAGTAAGAAATACACAATAATGCAGAGTTTTGGTTGTTACAGTTAAGAGGAAAGTGAAATAAAGAGACGAGAGAAGGGAAGATCTTGGAAACATAATCCTGTCCTACAGGAGAAAGTGGAGAAGAAAAAAAACCTGAACTACCCTGGGAACATACCCATTACAAGTAGTAAACTAAGAATGTGAGAATAACTGTTTTACAAAGTAGTCTAGTTAAACCTATAAATAGTCTATTAAAAACTAGAATGGTCAATTATAATACTTGATACTGATGTTCCATTATTCCAGGAAGCTGTTATTTTCAATTGCTAACAACTAACTATTCCAATCTAATTCTATTCTAACACTAATAATCCACATGAGAAAAACAGAAAACCACCTGAACTTGTTTGGAGGTTAAGTACAGGCACTACTTGGTGGAAGCAAACAAAAGGCTTACAAACTTCAAAAAAAAAAACCCAACCCTTGAAAAACAGAGAAGATAGATGGTCGATAGAGATGACTCCATAATATAGTAGCACAAGCTCGAAATGTGCTATCCAGAATGCCCTGAATCATCCACCCCCTGTCCAAGCACTTTATTTCCTTGCACTCCTGCTAGATCAGCCAGTGATGGACTGTCTTACATTGTTAATACAAGACAGTGAAAGGTATGTGCAAAACGCAGTCATCTGAGATACACCTTCATGGCAAAATGCAGGACTATGCCAAACATGTTCTTCTGTAAGCATATGCAAGATACTTATTTCAGAACACAACTGTAGCTGTTTCTTTCCATGCACTTCCAAAATCTCAAAAAAAAAACAAAAATGAATGAAAGAGGGCTATATGAGAAAAGATCCAAGAAAACTGATCTCCAAGCAAATCAGGCAGTTACAGTTCTGTATTTGACGTCTGCCAAGCCCTGGAACATTTCCAACTTAAAGCTGTTCCAAAAATTTGAATACATTAACTGGTTAATGCCTTAAAAACCCTACTAATATTTTTTATTGTGCAAAAATCAGAGTTGCATAACTTTATTCACATACAAATGCTGACACAAGCAGCAGGCATTAATCCCCAAGACACAGGCCATTTCTATCTCCGCTTTTCTGTTTTTCAGACAGTACACAAACTCATTCCCTGCAACAATAGCCAATTAATGCAATTAAATAGATAGTGACACAAATTGAGTTTCCTAGAAAACTAAAGACAGTCAAACCCTACCAATTTATGCTAGGTCTGTTTGAAGATATTTCTACCAGCTGTCGGTTCTGCCAGGATCATCCCCCCCTTTGAACAACAGTCAACAGAGACAGATATCTCCATGTACAGTTGCTCCAGCCCATAACCTGACACATGCAGCCGAGTTGGTAATTTAAGCTAATATTCTGGGCTGCAAACATGGATCTCTGAAGCACAGACACCAACTTGTTTGTATTATGTACTCATTATAGTCTTCAAAAGGTATAGAAGTATTTCAGCACCACAGACTTTCCCTACATGCCACTGGCCAATATCCAGATGCTACACACTTAAATACCACCACCTTTTATCCCTGTATAAAAGACAGGGGAAATTAAAGCCATATTTGGTTTCTCACTTTCAGTTAAGCATAATTTGCTTCCTCCATACATAAAAGCTAACTCAATTGCTTTCAATGTGGAGGTGTCAGAATTGTAACTTACAATGCTGCCCACTCAGCATTTAAAGAAATTAAAAAATGAAAAAGACAAGAAGTCTTCTGGACAAACACTCTCTTTAATAACTGTAAGAGGTTTATAGCCAATTCCCTCTAAACTGCTTTCAAGGAAGCTTCTTCCAAATCCAGTTTTATAAATTTTTTTCACACAATGTAAGACAGTAAGATCTTACCAAGAAGTAAGTCAGTTTTGAACATCAGCATCAACAGTAATTTTACTCTAAATATCAAGTAATACGTATACATAATTTTGGGTAACTACCGATTTATTTTTATTTCACATACTTAACACAAATATCTAAGCCATTTTAAGCCTTTTTAAGGCAGGAATGAGTTCTTCTATAAATGAAAGTAAGGCTTAAACAAACTAACAGAAACATTTGCTGCTGTTAAACTACCACAGACCAATCCATACCAAAGAGCTTGCAAACCCCACCCTGCATCACAAGAAAACGAGCACACATCCTAATGAGGCTTTGATGTGAAAGGTAATTCAATTAATAATATCCCTTGACAAAGCAACTGGTGCCTTTCCAGAAACCTCCTTTTAAGTCTGGAAACTATAGAAATAATGAGCACAATGGAAGACCTCCTTTACCAACAAATTAGCAGCAGTGGATGTTGCTTCTCATGAGTTGAAATTACAAGTCAAGATAGAAAATTCTTTATTTCAGCTAAGAGAAATATCAAAAAAAAAAAAATCAAAGTCGCCTTCAGCCACCAAATACCTATTACTGAAGAAAAACACATAATCAACCAAAGCTTGAGACAGATGCATAATTTACTGTCAGTGAATGAGCTAGGAAGAGCATCCTGGTATTATCCATAAACCCTCTCTAGTCCACTGGCAGTACTTTGTATGTGACCAAATACCTAAAATCATTAAACAGAGCCCAAATATTATGCAACTAAATGGTTTGCAAGTCCCTGCCCACAAATCTACTATGTGTATAGAAAACCCATTTTTGTAAGGATGGAATATACAATTTTTTACTTTACAAAATGATTTCAAGGTGGACATGGTCCTGGACAATCTGCTACATCTAACTGTGCCTGTGCTGGGACATTGGACTAGATGATCTTTAACAGTCCCCTTCAACCTCAGTGATTCTGTGGAGATGCTGAACAGCATTAAATAGGGGCAAAATTACCTTTGATTTTATTGCACTCAAAATACCCAAGGAAGGTGTGTGGTGGGGGTTGCATCTGCTTTTCAGGAGAGGGACCATGAAAGCGAGAAGATACTCATACTCAGGAAGCGTCCAAATCAAATTCAAGCTGAAATAGAATTACTGGTTTTAGCTACATGCAGCTGTCATTTATAAATATTTCCCACAATGCAAAAGAACTATTTCCTTAAGGCTGAAATCACAAAAAGCCTTCTTTTTCTAATGTTGACATTGGCAAGCCATCTCAGTCACTTGGCCTTTGCGAAACTAAGCATTACTCTGAGTAAAGAACCCAACGCACAGCTAAGCTTAAATCCTCAAATAGATTACAAAATGCCACTTATTAAGGCAAGAGTTTTGCCTATACGCTTCCAAGTGTTAAACAGGCCAACCAACAGGAAATCTTGTTAATGAGCTTTGAGAAGCTGGAAGAGAACTATATTTAACTTCGGGAAATTATACAAAACTAGAGTCCTACAAGAAGGGCACTGATTCAAGCTGCTTAAGTAGTGCGAAAAAAGACGACAGGTACCGCTGGTGGCACACCCCCTACTATTTTGCATTCTGATCACTCTACTGCTTTCTGCCCTCCAGCTGCAGCAGCTTGGTTTATAAGAGGCGGGGGTAGGAACTGTGTGACTTCCAGCTGGGTCTCGCAAGAGGCTTAGCGGATCGGCCGGACGCCGGCGGTGGAAGACGCTCCGGGCCAAAAGAAGCCAGCGCACCCCGCGGCTCAGCCCCTTACGGGGCACCCGCCGCCCCCTCACACCTCCCCCGCCCGGAGCGGGGTCCCCGCTGGCGGAGGCGGGGACGGCGAAGGACCGCTTTGTAAGCCAGCGTGCCGGCTCCCGGGGCCGCACCGTGCTGGGGGGGGGGGGGGGGGAGCGGGACGAACGGTCGCTACCGGCCCCCTCCCGCCCCCGCCCCGCCGGGCACGCCAGCCGCGGCGAGCGCCCAACTGCCGCGGCGTTACCTGCCAGGCTCGCGCCGAGCCCCGCGCCGCCCATCCAATCCCGGCCGCGGCGCTCGGTTGATGACCTCACCCACCCGGCCCCGCCCCTACCGGCCCCGCCCCGCCCACACGGCCGCTCCTCCCCGCCGCGCCGGCCGCCGCTGACGTGCGGACTGTTGTCGGGTCTGTCGTCGTCGGGCGGCGCGGGCTGGCGGCTGACGTCACCGCGGCCCGGGGGGCACCCAATTCCCGGCGGAACCGGCCTCGTCTTGCAAGCTGAAGGCTGAGTTTCGCGGTCCCGGCGAGTGAGGGGTGCGGGGCAGGGGCGGGAGCTGGCCTGCTAAGGTAACTGCTGGTCGTCTCCGGCGTCAGAACTGCTTGGCGGCTTTTACCAGCCTCTGCAGGCGCGGTAAGATCACAGGACTGAGAAACAGGCTTTTTTTTTTTTTTTTTTTTTTTTTTGTACGCCAAGGTGGGGCCCCGCCATTGGTACGCAAGGCAGCCAAAATCCCAGTGACCTTGTTATCAGAAAGTGGTAATTAATTCACTCTCTAAGACTCAATTTTAGGAAGCAGGCATTCTTTATTACAGTGCTGGACACACAAGGGATAGCTCCTCCTAATGTGAGTGTGTGAAAATGAAATCAACAAGCAATTATACTACCTTAATCATACGTGCACACTGCATTTCTATCATGTTCATAACTTTTACGGGAACTCATTTAGCATATGTTAATGTCTCTTACTCGTGTCAGTTGGAGTCCTGAGGTGGTGGTTGGGGGTTTTCAGGTGAAGGTTTATAGTCTTCTTCACTGTGTCCACCAGTTGACCCTTACTTCTGCGCAAACTCAGTCCCGTGGTCGTGTTTTTTTTTCCCAATCCCACACATTGTTGAGGAAAAAGAGCTAACAGAAGTACTACCTGGTACACTGCTTGATGTTAAAACTGGAGGTTTTTCCTGCACAGTTCAGAGTGGTGGGGTGGCCGTGATGCTACCTAGCTTTGTCCTCTTACAAGGAAGTCCTTTCTGCTTTAGTTGCTTCTGCAGCTAGCAGCCACTGTCCTACTTCATCAGTATTTTGATTAATATAAAGGAAGACTCATCTGTAAGTGGTTTCTGAAATCTTCAAAATCAATGTGTTAAGTATACCATATGTGGAAACCTATAAAACAAATTGTCTGTGGATATGTCCCTGAAGCTCCACTAGAGGTAGAAAAAAAATTATACCTCTCCTGGTAATCTTTCATTGGTTTCACATTTTAAAATAGTACAAAGGAATATTAAAAGACACCAAAGATGGTAAAAATCCACCTCAGTTGCTGTGTTTTATCTTAGCTAGACACATACAGCATTTCCACTTTTGGGTTTCCAAAGATACCTCTCACGTGAACCTACCTTTTGGAAGCAAGTGTAAAGATAAAAATGGACACCTGATCTTAGGATAAATTTTTATGTACCTTCAGTGGCTATTGCTACCAGCTCATCACTTGGAAGAATTAGTCATTGAAATAATTGCTAAATAAGAATGTTCTTCTATGGCTTTACTCTTGCATCAAGAGTGTAGTGATCTAATTTAACCTGTATTTTCCTAAAAGGCTTGTTTCTTTTATCCAGTCTGTTATTTCAGTCGTAGTGATTCTTATCATCCAGTGCAGAAAAATACCCCTTCACATGAACACCAATGGTTGTAATTTGGCCTCATGCTTTGATAGCAATTTGGCCTGATAAAATCCTAGTACAGTCATTCAAATATGGGATAAAGAGACGGGAAAGTCTTGCTTTCAGGAAACCTTTCTCAACCGACACAAGAAAAGTATTTGTTGCCCCTGAGAGTGTGGGTTTCATTATGCTCAGTCAAGAGATCAGCTCACTGTGAACCCTTCCAGCCAGTACACCAAAGGGAAGTTGGATGGAGTGAATCATAAAAATGTCCCAATTACTCTCTGGTCTCCAAATGTAATGTAAACAAAGAATGTAAGTAAACATGCATAATTAATGTTTTTCTGCAGGCCTATGACTGTTAATACGAAGTGTCTTGCCACTAGCAAACTGAAAGAAAATGTTCAGGAACACAGGAAGTGCTGCAGGATAGGATCTATAAATATAAGCGAAGGAGGGTCTAGAGAATATTTTATAATCTGACAGATAATCTGAGAAGCTTCTGATGCATAATTGGAGAAGAACGACTGCAGGGAATGGCCTGTGATGCTGTAACTTCCCTAGCTCCATGTGCATCAGAAATACAAATGCAGTCCTGAAGTATATGGGTTGCTCCGTGCCAAAATGAGTTTCACTCGTAACCTGGAGACCTCTCGAGCATGCAGTATGTATGCTCCCTTTGCTAAGTAAGAAGAGGAAGAAAGCTGGCAAAGTCCAGTTCTCAGAGCCAGCTGCCAGCCTCTGGGGCCACCTGGGCACAGGGGGTATCTGTGACATGGCTGCTGGCCCTTCAGCTCTGCTGGCAGCCTTCACCCTGCTAGCTGCCCCTCTGCACATCACCACCTGCACCCATCACATCCACAAGAAGCCCCAGGAATACACTGAAATCTTTTGCTGCAGCCTGTGCAATTTTTCCAGACAACACCAAAAATAAATATGCTGGAGGGCTCACATCTGCAGTGACATGAAGTTCAGTTCCCTACATCATTTGATTCATAATCCACAAGAAACCTTATGCAGGGATAGTAAGGACATAAGCATGAGAGCCTGCCAGAAAGATTTATGTAAAACTTCCTGTCTCTTTCCGTCCAGTAAGCACTGTCTCAGTATTTAGGTAACATGCACACTGGTGTGAGAAGGCACTGACTGAAAACTGAACATAAAGTAATTTAGCATGAAAGTGTGACACAGTATCTCCCCTGTTTTTAACTGCACTCCAGTTACTGAATCTGGGAACCAAGAACTCAGAACTGGACTGAAAATGTCACAAAAGGTGATTTAATTTCAAAATCAGGGTGATTGCATTCAGAATTATATTTAAAAAATCGGCATAATTCTTTGTCTCAACTTTCTCAGCATGTTCACCACATTTCCCACACTTAGGAACCGAGCTGTGAACTAGTCAAGCTCTTTATTCTCACTAGTCAAGATACTTACTCCATGTTTTGGAAGGGAAGAGAGTAGATGTAGCAGAGCTAGAATTTCTATTTCAAAACATTTTAGAAGTGTTGAGGTATCAGGGTGATGGGTAACATACAAAAACCACTGTGCCAGCCTTAATGAGGGAAATATATGTATATTTTTTACCAAAATAAAGCTGTTGCCTTTTTTAACTCAAAGTGGTATTTTGGATCAACTGTTTGTGAAAATCCTTTCATTAGTGCTTGGAGGACTGTGCCTGGGGAGGCTGACAGAGCGTGCACTGCATCTCAGTTACACCCTGTGCCTGTTCTGGGGAATCAGTCCATAACAACAGCACCAGTGCGGGGGCAGGGGGAACCCCAAAGCACCTAGATTAAATTCAGCATTGCTTTCACAGGAGTCGAGAGTAAGTGTTGTCCTAATTTAGTATATTGCTAATAAATTATAGTCTTAAATGCAAGGAGGGTTAATTAACCTGAATCTTCTGCATGACTCAGGCCAGAGAATTTCAACACAAAAAATTGTACTGTTTTAAAGTATATAATGTAAATAATAATTTCTTGAAAAGGTGTTCAGTTTATGTACTAAACACTGTATTCACAAGAGCAATAAAATGATACTTTTTTCAAAAAATGTACATTGCAGCTTCAAGAAGAGGACGTACCGCTCAACACGTAATTCCATTATAGACACATTACATGCCTTAAATGACCTAACTGGTTCTGACTCCTACTACTAGGTGTAAATGTTGAACAATTATTTTCCTCAACTTATCAATGAATTATAAGTTTTATTCTCATGAGTTAGATTCTTATGATGTATCCATAATCTATAAAGAAGTAATACACACAAAACAAATGCATTTGTCTATAATGTTATAACATGCATATGATATATATAAAACATATAGTATTTAATTTTTATATGTTGTGAATTCAAAGACATTCTCAGGAATTACACTAAAATTATAAGAATATCAATTAAGAGGAACTGTTTGAATTCTAAACCTGATTCACTATCTACATCGACAATACGAAGTGCCTGAATATTTGAAAGAAAGAAGGAAAATTACACTATCCATAATAAACATGCTTTGGGAATAGTACTAAGACTAACTGCAGTCATTCAGCTCTTGTTAATACGATTTAATTCATTGTTTTGTAATTTGTCAGAATCTTTATGGATCTTTGT